AAACTGGAGCACTTTCGGTATTTTTCACAAGCGAAGTCAATGCATTAACAAAAGCAAAGGACACACAGTCAAGAATCCCTTGGTTCCATTTGTTGTCCAAGAGAATTGTCTCCCTGGACGAAGCTAGAAGAAAATCCGCTTGAATTATGAAGGGAAAAGTCGTCACCATCTCTGTTTTTGTTGTCTCTTTTGATGTAGAAGTGAGGGAAAACGACAGATCTCGCGTTCATCCTTACTATTTTCTGTTTTGCTTTTCTCTCTTTCTGCATGTGTTTAGTTCTTTTGTGGCTATTAATTTTCTTTTCGCTTTATTGCTTACACCTACAAGGTGGCACCGTTGTCCTGCACGCTATGCTTATCAATATTGTCATCACAACTGAAATTATTTTATACTGAGCTTTGGATTTAAATTGCCAGACCTGAACTCAATTATTTCTTCTAACAAAATTCATTTTATTTTTCAGGATATGAGAGTGAAGATAGCTCGGTGAATGAAGTCAATCTTGACTCATCAGGTTTGGTTTAGTTGTACTGTTAGGTATATAAGTAATGGTTAGTTTTATTTCGTTTCCCTGAATTTGCGCATATACTATCTGCTTGGCATGGAGGCAAATTCATGTCACAATTTGCATTTCATTATGGTGCTAATGTAGATTTTTTGTGCTTTGTCTATACTTGATGCACTTCTCTGTTGAGCGGAATGAACAAAATTGATGCGCTATCCCATATCATAATTTTTAAGCCCATGTGCTAGTTGTTATCCTACGTTTACCATATGCTGCAACTTGAAGATGTGATAGCAACGAAAAAATCGTTTTGTTTGCCCAAAACTTGCTATGTTATTTTGCTGCCACCAATTTACCTTGGTGAGTGGTGAGGATAATTTGTATGACCATTTGAGGAAATTCACTCATATATTTCAGATAATTTTTTTAGTTTTTTGATTTACTGTCAATGTATTTAATTCCTTGCTTGGTTTCCTTATGTTTTTTATCTTCTTCTATCCACAGACACTCACCAGAGATGCGCAGAAGCCTACACCTAGATTCTAGCGACTAGCCCACATCAAAGGTCTTTCTCTCTTTCTCAGAAAATAACCCCTCACTCGAAAGCCCCTCCCCATCCCATCCCAAAACTGTCGAGTGGTAAAAACCCAAACATGCGAGGCAGACTAGAAACTGGAGCACCTTCGATATTTTTCACAAGCGAAGTCAATGCATTAACAAAAGCAAAGGGCACATTGTCTATGTGCATGTTTACATTGGGATAGAAATTGAGATAATGGAGAGAAAAGTTTGAAAATTCATAAATCCTTCCCATTTGAGGTAATCTAAGTTCAATTGCTCTTTTTTTTTTCTAACCTTTCAATCTCAATAGTTCAAGAATTCATATTGTTTTGGCTAATTTGATATCTTTGAATTGGGTTGAATGTGAAGGTTGACATTTTCTAGAGTTTTCAATTGTATTATGGTGTTGTTGATATGATTCTTCTGACTCTTTATTTAATTTTTTTCTTCAAATCCTGCTTAAAAAAAGAGAATGTAATGGCTTATGAATTTTGTAGGGTATTTTGCAAATCTTACTATAAACTAGAACTTGCTTGGCCTATTTTATTCTATTCTGCTAGTTTTTTTTTTTTTTTGGGATAATGACATTGGTGTGGAGCTTGCTATCCTGTCCATAATATTTTGTTAGAGGTTTTCTGATTTTTTTGGCAATTCATGTCCCCTTTATTTTGTGGGATCAACATATGGACTAGCAAAGAAAACAAAATTAGCTACTATATCTCTTTCATCAGGTTATTTGAGTGGGTTGTCTTATGTTTTCTTAATCATGAGCCTTATAGTCAAATTAAATGAGTTGATTATCAAATAATTCTCAAAATATAAATCGCGTGCTTTGGTCACTATGTAATGTTATAGGAAAATAAATATTTGTAACATGTGATCTTTGTAATCAGTAACTAACATCAGTTTAAAATTTATAAAGTTTTTTTTGTCCATGAAGTAGCTTTAAGCATATTTATGAAGTAAAAGCAGTTGTATTTATCCTTTTAGCATGTTCATATATTTAAGGGCTATTGTTGGATTTTTCTTTTCATGTTTTTTATGTGATTAGATTAGAATTGTTTTATCTTTATATTAAAATAAAAAGAGGAAAGCAAGCCTCTTGCTAATGCATAATTTATAATTTCCATTTTTTTGTCATTTAGTGCATTCAGACACGGGTAATTATTAATATATATATATATATATATATATATATATATATATATATATATTTATGATAGAAACATAATTTTAATAGTAGCACAATTTCTAAGTTAAGAGTTGTTAATATTAATACAATTCTCAATTTAGGAGTTGTTAGTTTTTTCAAACAAGTTTTGATTAAATATAACTATTGAGGGTGTTTTGGACAATGGAGATCAAAATAGATTTATCCTCAAACAAGTTTATTGAGTGTATTTAAGTCTAAATAAGTCTATAAAAAAAAGACCGACTTCCAAAGGACCCAAGAAAGTTTAGTGCATGTAAAACTAACGTTACTAGTATTGAGCGTCTAACAATAAGCCATCAAGGGAAGAATTGCCTGGGGCAATGGGCCATGGTCCATAAATAATGTTACATCGATCAAGATATCAATGCCTTACCTTTTTTTTTTTTAGTTCAGGGGTGTTCGATTCGATTTATGCAAACTTTGGTTAATTTCTTCTCTGGTCTGATTAAAGACAGATTATCTATGCTGGGACTAGGGTATTCATGAGGGATAAATCCCTCATGCTTTCCCCAAAAAATTACCAAAATTCAAATTTAGAACATCTAAATTTATAACTCGTCTGTACTTTGTTCACTATCTTAGGGTGCGTTTGATAACAAGATGTTTTTGTTTTTTTTATGTTTTTGTTTTTATTTTTTGGAAAAATAAAAAATAAAAACATGTTCGATTAATGTTTCCTTTTTTTTTTACTGCTATGTTTTGAAAACAAAGCTAAAAATTGCAAACATCTAAAATAATGTTTTTGAAAACATCATAAATACAAAACATGCGAAACTCCCTGATCCTCATTTAATGAGGTCTCCAATTCGAACCTTTCTAACAGCAAAAAATTACTCCTTTTCCTTACCATATAAAAGCCCATGTGCACAACAAGTTTAATGCCTCTCCACAACATATCAATGTCTTGATCGCCTCTCGCCTCTGCCATATCCAGTGAAGATCTCTATCTCCGATGAAGCTCTTCGACGATGTTCTCCATCTATGACGATTTTCAAATCTATGATTTTTGTTTCAGATCTATGGTTTATTTTTGTAGATCTACAGTCTATTGTTTCAGATCTAGGGTATATTGTTATTGATTTTAACATTTCTGTGTGTGTGTATGAATTTGTGATTGTGTGTGTGCATTTGGGCATCTATGTGTGTGTGTGTTTTGGCGCCTTTGTGTGTGTGCATTTGGACGTTTGTGTGTGTGTGTGATTTACGCATCTGGTTGTGTATGTGTGTGTGTGTGCATCTGAGTGGGTGGATGCATCTGGGGGGGTAGGCAATGAGTTTCACAGAGGGGTTGGGTTTGGGTGGTGATGATGGTTAAAAACAAAAACGTTACCAAACGCACCCTTAGTGTCAGACCATTTAGTTTTAAATTTTTGTTTCGTTTTTTCGATCAAATTAGCAGTTCCCATGGACCAATGGTAGTCGTTTTAGGTAATGGACAGAGCAGTGAGAGAAATGTTCTTGATGTACCCTCACAGTGGGCCACCCATATTCATCAAAATGCAGCAGTCTCCAGCAGGATGTCTTCTCCAGAATTCTACTGTTCTCTGCCCGGTCAAGACACTTAAGAAGAGCAAATATCTTCAGCAGTTAGTTTTTTTTTATCCAACTTCAACAGTTCACCTACAAATTTTGTAGGTCTAATGCAAATAAAATTAAAAATGTGTAAAGTTCACATTTACCTTTTAATTTATAAAACATACATATAGCAACCTAATTCAACAACTATATATATAAATTTAATGAAGAACTCTTTTTCCTTTTAATTTTGTTTTTGGGGTTGAAACATAGTATATTCTTCTTCTTCTTTTCATTTCTCAAAGGATGATTTGTTCGAACGCAAGATATTATTGTCACAAATTAAGAAGTAGGCACTATGACTTGGGTAGACCTTAGGCGGGCGCTCCTCAGAGTGCAATTAAGGTTGCCAACCTAGACCATGGTTCTTCTTGATCGCCCATTGACCCTGTCCAAGTAAGTAGAGGACTTTTTTCCTTGAATCTTGATTTAGATGACAAAAAATGAGAACTATCTGTTGTTTTGCCCGGGGGGAAAATATATGAGGACAAAATGTTAGAAAATTGTCTCTGTCCACATATTGAATGTTGAGGTTGCTTGTGAAAACACAGTTGCAAAAATATCTGCAACCATTTGATAGAGACTGCTATGTTGATTGCAAGGACTCAAAACATTAGGATTACTTAGCTCAAATTAACCACAGTGATATAACTCCTGACCTAACAAGAGCACATAAAAAGTGTAGAAATAAATATATATTTGTCTAATAATCTTTCAAGAATTTTAAGTTTTTAGAGAAATTGACTGTCTAACTTTAACATGATATCAGAATAAAAGATTTTACATTAAGATTTCTCTGTATCCCCAATAATTAATTATACAAGGCTTGTCCTTGCATGTACTTGGTCTGAAAATCTGATCCGCTCATGAGAAAACAAGTTAAAATATACAGATACTCATAGTACACATTCTCTAAAAATCTAAGTTTGGCCTTGATTACTCAAAAGGGCAGATCATACATATTTCATTAGCAAAAAATGTTGCACCTATTGCAGCTACTATCAGGTTATGTTCTGGCCATGTGCCCAAATAATTGAGAAAATTGAAATCTCACCAAACAATCAAATCTTCCTCTAAATGTCTCCCCCAAAAAATATCTAGTCTGTCACTTTGTATATCTTGTCATGTGCATGAGGGTGTCAAATAGCTAGAAGTTATTAAACCTTCTCTTAACCACCCAAGTCACTCTTGGCATTTTGTATAGATAATAACAAAAAGAATTTTCAAACTTTTGGAGCCAGAGGCTAAAATTTCAGCAATAATGGAGCTCAGGTAAGGGAAACTCTCTCTCTCTCTCTCACACACACAAACGCACACACATCACCAGAATTCAATTTGGGTATGGAGGACCAGTTTTGATCAAGAGTTTCAGATTCTAGAGTTCATGGTCCCAAATTACAATACCAGCCCATCCCAAGTAGTCTGAATTTATTTTTTCTTCCTTATCCTCATGACCAACTAGATGCCTTTTACAATGTTTCTATCTTGTTGGAATCCTTCCAACACTTCCTTTATGGCCTAAAGGCAATTCTCTCTCTCTCTTAGCCCACAGTTCAATAAGATATTGAAAAGAATAACATAAAAATCCCTCATCACCTGTATCTTGGTCTCAAGTCTCATCACCCCTTTTGGAAAATATCAAACCCTGTACAGACAGATTCAATTTTCTTTTCTCAAGTTGGTTTGGTATTGAGTAGATTGGTCTCGAGGGCGAGTCGTCCGAGTCATCATCATCGAATCAGGCGTGGCGAAAGATATATCCCGATCATAATGAGACACCAATACCACCTGCATCGTCTCCTACTCGACACAAATCTACCAACCAATGGAAGCCGGATGACTTCCTCAGACGCAGGAGACGCCAACTTTGACAGCAACATGGTGATAATTTTAGCAGCCTTACTATGTGCACTAATATGTGCCCTGAGCCTAAACTCAATAGCACGCTGTGCTTTAAGGTGTGGTCGTAGACTCGCATTTGAGACACCGGAACAGGCTGCGTCGCGTTTAGCCTCAACGGGCCTGAAAAGGGACACATTGAGTGAGATTCCGGTGGTTGTTTACAAGACATCCGGACTGGACTCTCTGGCAACAGATTGCCCGATATGCCTCGGCGAATTTTCGGAAGGAGAGACGGTACGGATCTTGCCAAAATGCAACCATGGTTTCCATGTCAAGTGTATTGATACTTGGTTGGTGTTACATTCATCATGTCCAACATGTAGGCAGCTACTACCTGAACATCCCGGAAGTTCTAATTCTAATGCAGGGGTGGTGGGTGTTTAGAAATTTAGTCTCAGGCAATGGGTTCAGAAAGATAGCCCCCAAGATTAATTTCAACTCAACTCGACTAAGCGTTGTCATTAGACCACTCGTGCGAATTTTATGGTCATACTCGAGGTTCTAGTTTTGAATTACTTTACAGTTTAGATTATCAATGGAACTTGTTGGAGATGGTATGATAGTGAATGAATGTCTATATAAGTAGGTAAAGCTTTAGTTGAGGCAGTTGAAATAGATTGAGTTTCCTCTGTTTGGGTGTTTTGTGTTTTTCCTTTTAATCCAGTGTTGATTTTATGATATATATATATATATATATATATATATATATATATATATATATATATATATATTATTCAACGGTCAAGAATATTTGAACTAATTTACACGCATTTTAACTACTTTCGTCTCCGGTTTGATTAATTTTATGATGTCTGGCCTTATTGATTCATTCAACAACTAGCTCTTAGGGTTGGCACTAGCTTTTGAAATTCTGTGATGCCTTGACTGATTGTCCCAAGAATTTGGCTGTAGTAACCATCTGATATTCCGTGGGATGTTATAAATTCGTAGAATACATCTGAATATGTTAAAGTACAAAATTCAATTTAAAAAAAAATCGATCCTAATAATTCAATTAAGCTTAATTTTAGAAAATTATACACGAATATTCGTTCAATGCTGTCTTATACTTATGTAGAGATATAAATAATTCAGATGAAGTCATAATCGATCGGATGATGGTATGTTCAAATTCAAATCATCGACATATGATGAGAAGGATTTGGAAGCCAAGAATATCAATCCATATTCAACTAAACGGATTCAAATTCATAAAATTCGATTCATTAACAAATTTGATAATACTCAAAATATGCTTAAGGTTGAGCTCAAATATTCAATTCGAACCTTTTAAGCTTAGACTGCTCAGCCCATCATAAATGACTAGGGAATTTGAGGTTGGCACCTCCTCCCCAGCAACTGCACCTCTACAGGAATAGCACATAAGACAACTGACTTCCACTCAAGCACCACACATAATGTAATAAATCTTATATTTGGGTAAGGAAGTCGTAATCATCTTAACAATGTCCATGACAATCGCATAAAATGCTCAACCGTTACAAGAAGAAGGCAAGGATCATGTCAAGAATCAAGTAAGGCTTCACCAGACTATAAATAAGAGGTATATTCCTCATAATACAATACAAGCATCTAGTCTAAGCAAATACCCTGTGTAATTTTACCCCTTTTGTCAATAATATTATTCTCAGGAGTAAGAGATTTCCTTCAAAGTAGATTAACCGAGTTCTCGAGTTACTAAACCATTATAAAATCTGTGTACAAATCCCAACTTCTCTTGTTCAATTCTTACGAGCCTAGGAGCTCCTGGCTGAGCTATTCATTAACCACTAATCCCTAAATATCATACACTCTGCTCAATTGTGTGACATACAACCATCAAAATCTAAGAACAACTTTTTTCTCGAGGGAAATGAGAACTTTCCCAAAAACTAAAAAAATCAATCAAAATATAGAAAGAATTTTTCCCAAATACAAGAACGAAGAATACCAAATAAAAAAAACAAAAGAATCTGACTCTTTCACCCACCAAAACCATAGGAAATAACTTAGCACCATTAACGAATACTGTTGAACAATCTAAAGAAATACAGGAGATAAGAAAAGAAGAGGCTATAGTTTTATTGATACTACATAATTTAATTGAATACTGGGAAAAATATTTAACCTAAATACAAAGGGACTATATATAAGCTAAACAAGGCAGAGAAAGTAAAGGATTATTTTATCCTTAATAAATAAAATAATCCTATATTTCTTAATGTCTCCCCTTAAACTTACGATGCAGCAGCGATAAGTATCGAGAGTTTGCCAACTAAAAAACGAAAACGGGAAATAGAATGCGACTTAGTAAAGAAATCTGCAATCTGCAAAGAAGAAGAAACAAAGGGCAAAGTAATGGTGCCATGCTTGAGATGATGACGAGTAAGGTGACAATCGATCTCAATGTGTTTAGTACGTTCATGAAAAATCGAGTTGTGAGCAATCTGAATAGAACTCCGGTTATCACAATACATAGGAGTGAGATGAGAAAGAGAAACTCTCATATCTACAAGTAACCAACGTAACCAAACAATCTCTTTGGTAGTAGATGTCATAGCACGATATTCTGCTTCGGTTAAAGATTGAGAAACAATAGATTGAGAAACAATAGATTGTTTCTTGCTCTTCCAAGAAATAAGAGAATTACCCAAAAAGATACAGAAACTAGTAACAGATTTGCGATTTGTAGAATCACTGTCATGATCAGCATTAGAGTATGCACACAGCTCCAAGGAAGAGGTGGATGGAAGTAAAAGACTTTGAAAGACTGTACCCCAAAGATACCTCAAAATACGAAGAACCGCTGTCCAATGAACTGTAGTAGGAGAAACAACAAATTGACTAACAACATGAACAACATATACAATATCTGAACGAGTAATAGTGAGATATACCAAGCTCCCAACAATAGTACAATATAAAGTAGGATTTGACAAAGGTAAACTATCAGAAGAATAATACTTTGCGTTAACCTCAATAGGAGTATCTACAGTCTTATTATCAGTAAGTCTAATTCGCTCAAGAATATCTGTAACATATTTCGACTGAAAAAAAATATAACCTCTGGGTGAGCAGGTTACCTCAATACCCAAGAAATATCATAGAGAACCCAAATTCTTCATTTAAACTGCTAGCTAACTCTATCTTCCAAACTGAAATACCATTAATATCATCACTAGTAATAATTATGTCATCAACATATAAAGACAGAATGATACGACCTGCATTAGTGCACTTAACAAAAAGAGCAAAATCATGACTACTAGAAGTAAACCCAAGGGAAGAGATCACAATAGAAAATTTCTCAAACCAAGCACGAGGTGCTTGTTTGAGACTATATAACGCTTTCTTGAGCTTGCAAACATACCCAGAATCATGTGAAACACCAGGAGGGGGAGCCATATAAATTTCTTCTTGAAGATCCCCATTCAAGAAGGCATTTTTAACATCAAGTTGAGAGATATGCCACTGACGAACCGAAGCAACTGCAATAAGAGTACGAATAGTAGTCATTTTTGCAACAGGAGTAAATGTCTCCTCATAATCCATACCATACTGTTGAGAGTACTCTTTTGCAACCAACCTATCTTTGTATCGCTCAATAGATCCATCAAAAATTGGTCTTAATCTTATACAACCAACAACACTCTTACCAGGAGGTAGAGGAACCAAATCCCCTCAAACGGAGCTTGAGGGACCATAGGAGAAGAGGTAATTTCAGGTATGCTAGAGAGTAAAGTGTCAGTACCTGTAGAATGATCAGTGCTGGTATTTAAAGTACTAGAAACCTGAGATGACAAACTATTAGAATTCTCAAAAAAATGATCTATACGAATAAGATTAGATCTAATCAAACTATAAATAGTGGATGAAATAGAAAAGAAAAGTATATGCTCAAGAAAAATAACATGACGAGACACATAAAATTTTTGAGTTATTGGATCAAAACAACGATATCCTTTTTTACCTTTATCATAACCAAGAAAGACACAAATAGCAGATCGAGAGGACAATTTGTTGCGTTCAACATAAGCACGAAGAACAAAACAAGTACAACCAAAAACTCTAAATGAAGAATAATCAGGGGCATACCCATACAACTTTTCGAAAGGAGAAACACCTAAAATATGAGAAGATGAAATTGTATTAATTAAACCTACATCAGTAAGAACAGCTTCACCCCAAAACTCACTAGGAATAGAAGAAGACAACAAGATAGAACGAGCAATTTCAACAATGTGCCTATGTTTTCTTTCAGCAACACCATTTTGCTCAGGAGTATATGTACATGAAGTTTGGTGAATAGTTCCATCTAAGACAAACAACTTATCAAATTTATTGGAAGTGTATTCCCCACCCAAATTATACCTAAAACATTTGATAACAGCAGAATGTTGAGTTTTGACAAGAGCTCGAAAGACTGTATATATCTCAAAGAATTCAGAACGATGTTTCATTAAATAAATCCAACAATAACGAATATAATCATCAATAAAAGAAACATAATATCGAGACCATCCTTTTGTAGCAACAGGAAAAGGTCCCCATACATCAGAATGAATCAAATCAAATGGAGAAGAAGAAATAGAAATACTTCAATTAAAAGGTAAAGCTGAAAATTTTGCCAATTTACATCCACTACAATCAGAAATATCACAAGTTTGTAAATTTTCTAAAGCCCCTGTGCATGCCAAAAATCTCAAACGAGAAGACGAACACATGACCTAAACGAGAATGTCATAAATAAAAACTAGAAGAAGAAGGACTCAAACGAAAAGAAGATAAATCAACACTAGTAGCAATAGCAGCAGTAACTGACACTTTTAACTCATCCAAAATATATAGTCCCCCTTTCTACAGCCTGTCCCAATCAGCTTTTGAGACAGTAGATCCTGCACATAACAAGAAGAAGAGGAAAATGTGACTAAATTTTCAGAATCACATAACTGACCAACAGAAGCAAGATTTAATGTGAGTTTTGGAATATGATAAACATTAGGCAGAGACAAGTGATATGTGACAACATAACCAACACCTGCTAAAGGCATAGGAGTACCATCAACAGTCATAACAGGAATAGAAGATGAAGGAGATACAAAAACAAAAGATGAAGAATCTAGAGACATATGACGTGAAGCACCAGAATTCAAGACCCATATAGAATGTGACATACTTGGAGAACTATGAGGCAACTGACCTCCTGAAGAAAAAGCAGACATAGCTTGTGGCTGTAAGGAGAGAAACTTCTGAAATTGCTCAGCCAAGGTACTAGAATCGGTGAAAGGACCTGATGAAACTACTGCTGCATTATTAGACTGTGGTGGTTTGTAACCCTGAGGTGGTCTAGGAGCATTAGATTGTGACTGGTTGTCAGACTTCGAAGCTTGAGATTGCTGCTGCGATTGATTCTACTATCTTAACTTAGGACATTGAATGACTTTTTTGCTTACAAAAATTGCACTTGTCGAAGGCAGGCCTTGTGTAAGGCTTATTCTGATTATGAGAGAATGATTTAGAAGGTACTGCTAGCACAGAAGGATCAGAAATAGAAAAAATTCCCTTGTCAGAATAAGACTTAAGACGTATCTCTTCAGCCAATAACTCATTGACAACTGAGTCAACAGAAGGAAGTGGAGAACGATACAAAATTGAACCTCTAA